TACCACCGTGGCTTTGTCCGGAAGGAAGTCTGACATCTGGAAGATGGCTGGTCACCCGGTCTAATTAGCATATTACCCTTTTATTAGTATAGATATATACACAAACACATATGCTCACACACAATACATAGATATATGTGTAATCTAAGTGATTTTTCTAAAGGTAGGAAAAGAATATACATGCATAGAAGAGACTCAGATGTGATTAAAGGAATAAGAAACTAGACATCCCCAAAATGTATTTATATAGGTGAAGATTTTTAATAATTCAGGATAAATATGAAATAAAATATTAAACTTGAAGATGCTACATACACTGTTTCTGTTGCTAATTAACTGTCATAATACCATTTCTGAATGAAATTTCTTTCTTAAATTCTTGCTATATATAAGTACTGTCTAGTTATTTTAAAAAAAATCCACAGTACTAATACTAACCCTGAAGGATTCTTTGACATCTATAGCAAGATTATACTAAGTTAAAAACATACAGTCACACAAAGACCTGAAAGCCAAGTGAAGAAAATATTTCAAGGGGAAGTGATCACATGTACCAACTCCGCTGAAAGGTCAAGAAGATGAGGATTGAGAGGCCGAAGTAAGAGATAACCTTGAAAAGAGCATAAAAAGAGGATGGCAAAAGAGTTCAAAGAACTCTTTCATCAAGAAGCTTTGCTGATCTGGGAAGGAGAGAATAGGGCAGGAACTGAAGGTGAAACTGGGGGAAGAGAGAGAGCTTTTTTTTTTTAAGGTGATAGAAATAACACAGCATGTTTGACTGCTAATGGGAAAATCAATGACTCAATGCAGAGAGGTAGATGAGAGGAGCACCAGAAGTGGCCAGACAGAATGCTTCAGGACTCAGAAGAGTCTGTGGTCCAGGAGATTGATAAATTATGTATCTCCTCCCAATGATGCCCAGTGCTTCCCAGGGATACATTCCTGAAGAGTCAGGATTTGTCTGAGAGGAAAGGACACAATCATCCAAATCTATATGGGCTGAAGACAAAGATATTAAAATCCTGTTTTAAAAAAGAAATGATTTATCACTCAATACCTGCTCCATGGCATATGATGAACTAAAAACTCCACTGCTGCTGCTGCTGGAGCTGGTGGAGGAATCTGCGGAGCTCCCGGATGGGGTCCCGCTGCCTGAAGTTTTCACCGTAAGCATCTGTTCATCAGAAAAGCCCAGCTGGTGGAGTAACTTTTGATCTTTATTTACTGTCAGCTGCAAAAAGAGGTTTCTTAATTACTGAGAGGAAAAGGAAGAGGATAGTAGTAGTATCAGGCTAAAGGGCCACAGTTTATTTAAACCTACCAGACTATCATTTGTAAATATCTGTATATTATCCACAGGACAGCACAACTGCTTGGCTATCTTCCACCGGACACTCCCTATGGTTTCATTACTGTGAGCCTGTAAAATAAAATTAAACCGTTGTAATGCATTTATTCGTTCATTTAAACAACTGTTAGTGAGCATCTACCATGCACTGGGCACTGTTCTAAAAGCCAAGAACAGCAAAAAAACCAAAGACAAGAATCCCTGCCCTCGAGAGGCTTCCCTTGTGCTGTAAAAGTTCTATTCCCTCCTCCAACCCCCTCATCACACATGGAATAAAATCCCAAGTCCTTCTTCCACAGCAGGTCTTCCATTCTTTCTTTCCCTTTCTCACTGTCATTCCAGCCACCTTGCTTGTCATGAACAAGCCAAGCAAACCCCCACCTCAGGGCCTGTGCACCTGCTGCCCTTTGTTTGGAATGTCCTTCTCCAGAAAAGGCTTTCTCTGTTACCTCATCCAGTTCTGTGTTCAGATGCCACCACCTCAGACCTTCCATGCCCACCTCTATATAAAGTGTGATTACCTCTATAGTGATCACATAGTGTTCTGCCATAACCATCACCTCTACCAGCTTATTCTCCTTTATTCTTAACTAGAGGCCCAGTGCACGAAATTCGTGCACAGGGGGAGGGTGTGTGTGTGTGTGTGTGTCACTCAACTTGGCCTGCACCCTCTCCAACCTGGGGCCCCTCGGGGGATGTCTGAGACCGCTCACCTGCCTGCCTGCCTGATCACCCCTAATCACTCTGCCTGCCTGCCTAATGCCCCTAACTGCTCCCTTGCTTGCCTGATTGCCCCTAATCTCCTCTGCCTACCTGACTATTCACCCCTAATCTCTCTGCCTGCCGGCCTGATCACCTCTAACCACCTCTGCCTGACAGCCTAATTGCCCCTAAACTGCTCCCCTGCTGGCCTGATCGCCTCTAACTGCTCCCCTGCCTGCCTGATCACCCCTAACCACCTCTGCCTGCCGACCTGGTCGCCCCTAACTGCCCTCCCCTGCTGGCCTGGTCACCCCTAACTGCCCTCCCCCTGCCGGCATGGTCACCCCTAACCACCTCTGCCTCAGCCCCCGCCACTGTGGCTTTGTCCAAAAGGACGTCTGGAAGATGGTCTGGTCTAATTAGCATATTACCCTTTTATTAGTACAGATGATACTCACCACCACCTGATATTGTATTATGTATTTGCCTATATGTCTGTTTACACCCCATCAGTTCCCTTTCATTTCAGGTCTTTATTCTAAATTTGTTTACCAGCTTTTAGAATAGTCACTCATACATCTTTATCAATAGTGTTGTGAAAGTAAGACAATATGAAAATGGCCACAAAGCTTAATGTAAACCCACCTCTACAGTAAAGGTATCTTTGGTAGACTCATAAGTAACATTAAGCGTTAGAAGATGTCCATGAAATGAGGCACCATGAGGTAGAATAGTTCGTAGAACAGAGTAAAAATCCTTGAAAAAGATAATAAATCAAACAAGTTAGATTCACAGTGCCACTGTTAAACATCTCAAAAATACAAACCTAACACATTGAGTCTAATAATGGGATGATTCAGTTGCTTTAGAAAAAAAGAGAGGCTTACCTCTATAGTGATCACATAGCGTTCTGCCAGAAGCAGCAATCTCTCAATGATTACAAGTTTAGTGGATCTATAGATTAGAAAAAATTTTAAACATATTTTAAATGAATTGCTGATTTGAACTCAATTCCAGTCTGTTTCACCAAAACCCCAATCAACAGGTAGCAGTCACTGGTCAAAGCCTGAAATTTGCAAAGACTAAACTTCCCTTTCACCCAAGGAGGAGGTAATGCAAGCAGTCCACAGCTGCAGCGCACAGATGGCATAAGGGAGGAGAAGACTGACCCTCCCACATTTCCTTTCCTGTTCTTTTCTTTCTTCTTTTTTAAACAGTTGTTCCATAAATAGAGGACCTGGGTCTCCTCTGGGTATCCAGGCCCATTTGCCCATCAATCCACCAAGAATAAAAATCAGTGAGCTTGACTCTCATTATTTTACAACTAAAATATGCTACATAATTCTGTAAACACATGGAATCAAAGTTCTAAACTGCCTGAAAATTAGGAGACAAATGCAAAACAGGAAGTATTCTACAAATAAGAGTTGCTATTCTGTTTTTTAAAATAATGTTTATTTTCAATTATAATTGATGTACTATATTGTATTAGTTTCAAATGTACAACCCAGTGATTAGACATTTATATCACAAAGTGATCCTGATAAATCTAGTATCCATCCAACACTACATATTTATTATTATACCAGAGGCCCGATGCACGAAAATTCATGCAAGAGTAGGCCTTCCTTCCCCTGGCTGCCGGCACCGGCTTCCCTCCGGCACCCGGGCTGCTTCCCTCTTCCGGCTACCTGCAGGCACCCGGGACCTGCGCTGGCTTCCCTCCGGCCTGGCTTCTTCAGGAAGGATGTCTGAATGACGTCCGGTCTAATTAGCATATTACCCTTTTATTATTATAGATTATTAACTATATTTCCTATGCTTTACTTTATAGTCCATGAATATTCTATAAGTATCAAATTGCACTTCTTGATCCCTTCACCCTTTTCACTCATTTCCCTAACCCCCTTCCCATCTAGCAACCATCAAAATGTTCTCTGTATCTATGAGTTTGTTTCTATCCTGCTTGTTTATTGTTTTTTAGATTTCATATATAGGTGAAATGTTATGGTACTGTCTTTCTCTGTCTGACTTATTTCACTCAACACAATGCCCTCTAGGTTCATCCATGCAGATGGCAAGATTTCATTCATTTTTTTTTTTTATAGCCGAGGAGTATTCCATGATGTATACACACCACCTTTTCTTTATCCACTCATCTACTGATAGACACTTAGGTTGCTATTTGTTTGAATTAGGCTAAGAATGAGGAGAAAAGGAAGAATAAACAATTATTCATCTGTGAACATTCTGTATAATTCAAACTTAAAATATAAGAATTTGTAATCTAAGGGTTTTCAAAGTACTTAAGAAATCAACACATAGGAGACATAACCATCTCTGGGACAGAAAACACACAGCAAGGGAGCATGGAGTTCTAACAGACTCTGAAAATGAGACCTGAGGTCTCTTTTAGTCAGACTTATGAACTCCTTATCATGTGAAATATAGTCGGCCCTCCATATCTGTGGGTTTGGTATTGTGGATTCAACCAACTGTGGATCAAAACACCTTGAAAAATAAAAATCCCAGACAGTTCCAAAATGCAAAATTTGAATTTGCCATGAACTGAATACTACACTGAATCCACACAAATGAAGTGATGTGTAGGTATACCCTGCTGTAGCCTACATGCAAACATAAATTAATGCAAATACTACATCATCTATCTATATAAAAGCGTAAGTGACCGTCGCAACCGAATGGCTGACCGAACAGGCTGCGTGGAGCGACCAGGCCAGCAGGGGGGTTAGTGAGGGCCGACCAAACAACTGAGCAGCAGGCTGTGTGGGGCAACCAGGCCGGCAGGGGGGGCAGTGAGGGGCGATCAGGCAGGCAGGCAGGCAGGCAGGCAAGTGGTTAGGAGCCAGCGGTCCAGGATTGTGAGAGGGATGTCAGACTGCCGGTTTAGGCCTGATCCTGCCAGTCAAGACCATCCCCCGAGGGGTCCCGGATTGAAGAAGGGGTGCATTCCTGGGCTGAGGGGATTCCCCCCCCCCCCACCCCCCCCCCCGCACGAATTTCGTGCACCAGGCCTCTAGTTTTATATAAAGGACTTGAGCATCCTTGGATTTTGGTGTGTGTGCACGCATGCGTGCACCATGGAAGCAACCCCCGTTGAATACCAAGGGATGACTCTAATAGGACTGACTCCAATATCCAGCACTTACATAGTCACAGCTTCATAACTTTACTGAAGAGAATGCTACATGTGTTCACACTGAGAGATGAAAAATCCAAATGCCTTTAAGTATTTGCTATTCTAGAAAGTCTACTTCAAATAGGTATATTTCTAAAACTGAAAAGAGGTACCACTGTTTTCTAATACTTGATTAGCAGTATTGGAAATTTTACTTGAAAAGAGTTGGTTAAATACATATTAACAGTTCTGTTAAATACATTTAACAGAGTTCTGAATTCTTTCAGTCTATAAGCAGGAACCAGATTTGATATTCAGATGGAAAATCTTTAGGAAATATCTAAGTGCTGTAAGTGCATTGTTGAGTACACTGTTTTAATTATGCTCAATAATGAATTAACCGCAGACATCACCATAGCACACTGAACAGCTGAGAGAACAGCTCCTCCCCCATGAGTTGGAACAATTATGGTCACTAAAAAGTTCTTTCAAAACTGGTAAAATAATATAAAAACAATGTCCTGGTTCAAATGCAACGCTGATATTATACATTCTTATTAACTCTGTTTTTAAAGTTTATAATAAAAATATTTAAAAATTATGTGGTTTTGCTCTGTAGTCAAATATGAAATGATTTACAGTAAAAATCATTTGGTAAAAAGGAAAAAAAACCACACTTATGAACCCCAGTATTTCATAAATGCATTTCTATTCTGGTTTGTCAGACAAATGAATCATTGAGAATCTAGGTCATAGAGATGGACTACAATTTATAAACACATAATTAGGAATTCTCAATGCACATTCTTAGTGAAAGTCTATTTGAGAGATACTTCTAAACATGTGGGAATGCAAAAGCCATGTTATGTGTTCTTATCATGAGTTCAATATATAATCACTTTCTGCCATTTAAAAAAGAGGTTCTAGAGCAGGGGTGGGCAAACTTTTTGACTCGAGGGCCACAATGGGTTCTTAAACTGGACTGGAGGGCCGGAACAAAAGCATGGATGGAGTGTTTGTGTGAACTAATATAAATTCAAAGTAAACATCATTACATAAAAGGGTACGGTCTTTTTTTTATTTCAATATAGAACAGCCGAACGGGCCGGATCCGGCCCACGGGCCGTAGTTTGCCCACGGCTGTTCTAGAGGGTTGAGTATTATTGGCTGCCTTCACATTAATAAAGCATCACTATACAATACTCATTTTAAAAAAGATAAAGAGTGTGAGCAAGGATATTGTTTTGATTCCATTTCTAAATAAAATGAAAAGGAATATACCCAACTGTAAATAAAAATACATACACACATACATAAAGTCATTCCAGGAGTTGAGAGAGACTGTATGAGTACCCATCACTAGAGGGCAGCAGAGTGAGGTGCAGAGACCTTCTATGAGCACCTGCCAAGGTTTCCTGGGAATCACTGATTTGGTGCTGCTTACCAGTAATGGAAAACTCATAAAGCCTCACAAAAATGTTCTAGTTGCTTCAATCTCATGTTTCTAAATATTTATCTATTCTACTTACTATATCAAAAAACTGGAACAAATACTGAATTCAGATTTCACTGATTGAAATCTCTAAACACAGCAATGTGATTAAGAGACAATGTCGATTGTCAAGGGCGGGAAAAAAAGGAGACATATGTAATACTCTTTGTAATACTTTAAGCAATAAAACAATAAAAAAAAAGAGACAATGTCAGTTCCGTTTTAACACAAATATTTGGGGATGAAGTTCCCATAAAACATTATTTTAAAAAATTATTTTAAGTAAATAGTATTTTAACTATGAATATATTATAATGTACACTTTTAATTAATCATCATCTTCCACTTCATTTTGCTTATACTATTAATTATTCAAGGAGAAAATTTGTAAGATGTCTAAGTAAGTAAATATTTAAAACGTTAAAAAATTACTCTTCTGCCGAAACCGGTTTGGCTCAGTGGATAGAGCGTCGGCCTGTGGACTGAAAGGTCCCAGGTTCGATTCCGGTCAAGGGCATGTACCTGGGTTGCGGGCACATCCCCAGTAGGAGATGTGCAGGAGGCAGCTGATCGATGTTTCTCTCTCATCGATGTTTCTAACTCTCTATCTCTCTCCCTTCCTCTCTGTAAAAAATCAATAAAATATATTTTAAAAAAAAATTACTCTTCTTGTAATTAATGGATCTTTATTCCATCATAATAGAGAAATTACTCACTACACAGTTTTAAAAAGTTAATAAAAAAACCACAAAAAACCCACAAAGAAACCTTGTCTACTAGGTAGAGGAGTAGGAGCAGAGTAATATTTGGGTGGTTATGATAATGACCTACAAATCTTTAAGAGATACAAATTTGGGGATATATAATGGAAAACATAATCTCCCAGGACATGACTGTTTGCAAAGTTTTGAAATAAAATGAAGAAATCAACAATTGAGAGCTCTCCATAGGAGGGGAAAAAATGTATCAATTATTTTTTAAACTGATTTTTTATATATATATATATATATATATATATATATATATAACACACACACACACTAGTAGCCCTGTGCATGAATCCGTGTGTGAGTAGCTTGCTGCCACTTTCCTCAGCTGGCCACCCCACCCACCGCCACTGGTAGCTCTCTACCGCTCTTAGCTCGCTGCCCCGCCCTTCTGTAGCTCTCCCCCACTTGTAGATGGGTTGTGATGTTATGGCGTCCTGGCTAATTTGCATATTCCTCTAATTACACACACACACACACACACACACACACACACACACACATATAGTGTATTTGTTGTAACTTCTGCAATCACTTACCTATATGGAGACTGAACTGATGTTGCTACAGTTGGCATGGCAGTTGCTGTAAGCATTTTTGTTGCTCTGGTCACAGCATGTGTTAGAGTGGGGCCGCCAAGTGCTGAACTGGCTGCCTGTGAAATAAGAAATAATCATTCTAGATCAGGATTTCTCAGCCTCAGATCAACTGGCATTTTGGCTGGAAACTTCTCTGTTGTGGAAGACTGTCTCAGGCATTGTAGGATATTTAGCAGGATATATATCCCTGACCTCTACCAGCAGGTGCCAGTAGGATTCTTCAAACTGTGACAACTAAAAAGGTCTCCTGACACTGCCACATGAACTGTGGGAGGCAAAATAACTCCCAGTTGAGAACTACTACTACTATTCTACATATGTTAATACATGGTACCTCATTTAGAGGTACCTGAATATTAAAAAAATTTTTTTTAAATATATTTTTGATTTCAGAGAGGAATGGAGGAGAGATAGAAACATCAATGATGAGAATCATTGATCGGCTGCCTCCTGCTCACCCCCCACAGGGATTGAGCCCCCAACCTGGGCATGTGCCCTGACCAGGAATTGAACCATGGCCTCTGGTTCACAGGTTGACACTCAACCACTGACTCACACCGGGCAGGCTAAATGTTTTTTATGATGACCTACCTGGATGGAAGTCATGACTTGGGAAATCCTACACATATTCTAGCACATACTCATCACCAAAATGTTTAACTTATTAACATTTGAGGGCAGTAGCACTTTATATTTTTGGAATACTCTTTATTGGATATAAAAAACAAGCACAAATTAAGAAAGAAGATGAATGTTCAATATTTTAACTTATCATGCTGGAAATAAGGCATTACATGTGAAATGTATTACACAGCAGGCTTCTAAGGGGCAAAGACAACCAACAACACCTATTAATGAGTGTCCTGGTATGGCCTTTAATAGCATTTATAATATAAACTAGGTGAAACGGGAAGCATGGAAAAAGAAGCAAGTGCTTGTATAAAAGTCCTGAACCAAAAAGTAAAAAGGAGGAAAAGAATCCATTGGAAATGTTGAGTGGAGCAGACCTGAAGATAGAAAACAGGTTCCTATACCCTCAAAGGGAGGTGGGTAAAGCAGGGAAGAGGGTGGTGGAGGAAGAAGAAAAAATGTCCTATATACACTCGTATGTGGGGGCATCAAGGCAAGCATCTGCTCCCTGCATTACAATATGGTCGGTTCACAGATTCTTCAACAGGATCCAGCCACAAATAGCAAATACATACATGATCTCAAAATATAAAGTTATAAAAGGAAAGAAAAAGAAAGCATTTATTTAAAAAACAGGTTAAATAAAATTTGCTACTCACTTCTAATCTTGTATAGCAATCAGCAATGAATTTCTTATGCAATGATACAGAATCCTAAAAGTAAGAGATATATGGAAATTAAACTTAGTTGGGCATTTAGCTGTAATCATTAAGGACAAATGTCAACATAAAGAAGTCAATTTTTAGGCATGCTAACTTATAAATAAAAACAAATACAATCTTCTGCCCTTTTGTGTTTGACTACCTTCTTCCTGTAGATACCCACCTTCTTTAACCTAGGATTTAGATTAATGTAACTATAGTTTATGATTAATTGAATAGCTTCATTTGCAATTTCTTCATCAGGTGATTCCATGGCTATTTTCCAAATGAAATCCATTCCTATCAATTCCAGCTTTTCTACATACTGTTCAAAAGAAAAAAAAAATAGTACACCAAGGTCACAAAATTACAATTTTTTTCTGTTACACTGTAAGTTCACACCTCTTTAGTTCAATATGAATTAAGGCTGTAAAAAACTAACTATATGAGAACACTACTGTACCAATATGGAACTTGAAACAAAAGACAACCAACCACAGAAACACTGGGCCATACCCAAGGGAACCAGAGTAGATGTGAAGAAGATTTTTTCCACATACACCTACACCCATACTAGACATCTACCCAACGGAACTACTGATGCAGAACTAGCAAAGCATGAGATGGGTGCCATCCTCAGGAGCTTTTTTTCAGAAGAAAATGAAGTCACGCTAGAAGTAGTTAATACTCCTTGGAGCTCAATTCAGTCTTCCCAAGGGCATAAAAGGTCTTGTAAAAATTCTTACCATCCAGGAAACCAGGTCAAGAAACATTCTTAGAAAAGAGAGTTATTTTTTGCCTTTCTTTTTAAAGGGGCACATATATATAAACAGTTGTACACATTCTATAGATCATTTTCCTGCTTCATTGTCTGCTCCTAAATTTTTCTCCCCAAATCCTTGCCACTGCAATCTCCAAACTGAAGACTTTGTTACTTTGTTAGGAATATGCGGGTTGATGGGTCTGAGGAGTTGGAAGTGTAGATGGAACTAACCTACTCTACACTGACCTAGCCTCAGGAAGCCACTGGCAGCCCCGGGTCAGTAAGAAGCAGAGGGATCTAAGAGGTCAGTTGTCATCAATGCAGAAAACAGCAGACAAAGGATACCCAGTCTTTTAAAAAACTTAATGTTTCACTATGTTTATAACATGTTTTTGCTGAATATCAAATTTTACCAGATTATCTAAATTATTCAGATTCGAGAATAATGTACTTACCAACTGAGCTCCTTGTCTTTTCAATCGATGATCACAGAGATTCACATTTTCAAAAAAAGTCTTAAATAAGTTAAAACCTGAAATTAGAGAACGTCAAATAAATTCCTGTACTGTAAGCAAAGACTCAAAAGCATATCAAGGACTGAAACTAAAATACTCAGGACAAAACATAGGCACAAATTTTTAAGACCTTGGATTAGGAAATGGTTTCTTAGATATGGTGCCCAAAGTACAAGTAAAAGAAAAAGAGATACACTGGATTAAATCAAAATTAAAAACTTTTGTACTTCAAAGGACTGTCAAGAAAGTGAAAAGACAACCCATAGAATGGGACAAAATATTTGGAAATCATATTTCTGACAAGGAGCTAGTATGCAGAATATATAAGGAACTCTTACAACCCAACAACAAAAAAAAAGACAAATAACCTAATTAAAAAATGGGCAAAAGATTTGAATAGGTATTTCTCCAAATATATACAAATGGCTGGTAAACACATGAAGAGTCAATATCATTAGTCGTCAGGGAAATGCAAATCAATACCATGCGATACCACTTCACACCCACTAGGATGGCTAAAATAAAAAATATAGACATTAACAAGTACTGGTGAGGAAGCAGAGAAATTGAAATTCTCACACATTGCTGGTGGGATTATAAAATAGTGCAGCCACACTGCAAAAGTTTGGTAGTTCCTCAAATATTAATTTTCTGATATAGCAATTCCATTCTGGGTATATATGCTCAAGAGAAATAAAAACCTCTGTCCACACAAAACTTGTACATGAATATTTGTAGCAGCATGATTAATAGCCAGAGAGTGTTAACAACCCAAATGTCCATCAACTGATGAATGGATAAACAAAATGTCGCATAGCCTCACAATGGAGTATTATTTGGCCTAACTGGAATGAAGTACATGCAACAACTAACCTGGGGTGAACCTTGAAATTATCATGCCTCAGCATAATGAAAAATGCCAGACCCATATTGTACAATTCCATTTATATGAAATGTTTAGATTAGGAGAGACCATAAAGACAGAAACTGGATTAGAGACTGGGGGTAGGGGTGATGGGGAGTGACTGCTAAAAGGTACAGAATTTCCTTTGGTGATGAAAATGTTCTGGGATTAAAAAGTGGCGAAGGTTGCACAACTTTGTGAATATACTAAAAGCCACTGATTTTACACTTTTAAAAAGTTAACTTTACGGTTTATAAATTATATATCAATAAAAAATTTCAGTTAAAATAAACACCCAAAAGGAAGATGTCTATACTTTGAGAAATTTTGACTTTAAATGAATCCTTTTTGTTCTAAAGTAACTTCATAAAAAGACATTTTGGCAATTTGAGTTATCAGGCCATATGATTTAAAAAACTAATTATAAGATAACATTTATATAGAAAAGAATTTATCATGTGACAGGAACAAAACTGTATACAAACAGAATAATTATAAAGGCAGTGCTTATTAAAAATACATTTCATTTTCAAAATGTGTATAAATATTTAAGTATGTATACATTTTTGTGGGGCACCCTGTATAAACATCACAAACATATTCCATACTGCTTGGTTGCTTCTGAAAAGTTGGCTTAGAAGGGAAGAATACAATTTTTTAAAGAACTGAAAAAATGATTCTGTGTTTTTTCCTACCATTCATAGTGATTTCATATGATTCCAATTTAAGAATCTTCTCCTTGAAGAGCTGCTGCTGAACATCACTCTCAAGGTCATGTTGCCCTTTTGTAAACCATTCAAAACACATCTGTGGATCAAGACAAATATTACCCTACAACTAAAATCCACTCCAGGAAAATACATATTCCAAATTGGGACAGTAAAGATAAATTAGTTGTAATTCTTCAAAAACTTCTATTGCCCAAATACCACTCAAAATGGAAATGCTTAGAACTCTGGACTAAATAAAGCATTAAGTTACTAGCAATCTTTCCCACAGATAATGTATATATTCCCACTTTTCTTAGAATTTTATACTTGAGTTTTTCCACAAACATTTATTAAGAAGCCAGGCATTGTGCTAGGCACTATCACATACTTAGTCCTTTCAACAATCCTATCAAGTAGTTAATAGTATTCCATAAAATGAGAAGAAGAAACAGCGATTCACTGCTAGTAAATGTCAAAACAGGTGTTGAGCTCCTGGTTTAATCTATTTTCCGCTGTTTAATTATAGTTCTAAAATCTGTCTAGGCCTTCATTCTTCTTTGATGTTTCTGGGGTAAAATGTCATTAAACGAACTCAGTTTTCTATTTGTAACTTAAAATTAGTTTCATGTGACAGGAACAAAAACACACTAAAAGATATAACTTTGTCCACAATACCATCTTCTTACCTCTCTATCTAATTCACAAACATCCTGGCCAGTCACAAGACACTCCCAGATTTCCTTGGCACGATTCCAACCCAAATACAGAGTAGCTTCTTGCAAGAAAAATGCCAGAAATTTTAGATGGGCTTCTAAATACTGCAAAAAGAAATGATACTTATTGAACTCCAGGCATTCGTAACTAAAAGCAAAATTTAAAAAACAAAATAAAACTTTAAAAAACAGTTCTATCTAATGCTTTTCCATATAATTTATGGTAAATGTGAGAAATCAGTTTACAAGCTGACAGTACAATGTAGTAGAAGCTACTTCAAGTCTATTAAAAATTCAGTTGACTTTAGATAATAAAATATGATTTCAGCAATCTCAAAAAGTAAAACACCATAAACTCACAACCAGTCAGTTAAGATTTTTTTCCCTAACTTAAAAAAATACTACTACTAATCAACTGATTTGAAAACAAAAACAACTATCTACAGAATTGACAATTAGTATTTCATGTCAAAGTCAAAGAAAAGATGTCTATTTTTATTACTTTATCATAATGCAGTTCTTAGCGCAAAAAGTCCAAATGAACGTTGTAAATCTTGAAATAAAAGCACAGTGCCAGTACCCACCTCCCGGTAAGTGTATCGGCCATCCACTAGTGTTGAACCAGTCAAGCCTCCAGGTCCAGCCATGGCTGCTGCAAGCCGATGACAGGCTATCAAACTTCCCGTTACCAATTTCACTATTTCAAAATTTTTCTTCAAGTCTTGAATAATGCTCTTGGCAAAAACAACCAAAAACAAAAATGGTATGAAAATTTACTTATTTTCTCATTTTAATACAAACTTCTGTTAGCAAGTAATCCTAGGTGAGTGATAGCAAACATGATTTCTTCACTCACATTTCTTACATGAAAGTAAATAAAATCAATCTGGTATGTACACTTACTAGGGAATTAATAAACTCCTCTGCTAAATTTTGCTTCTAAAAAATACTATTTTTCTTTTATAAAGAACTCTTTCAACAAAACTATCCAGATTTTTCTTCTCAAGTCTATTACATTGAGGAAGCTCTAGCTCCATAGTTACACTAATTTTTTTGTAATATAAAATAAACCTTTGAGTCTTTTCAAGCAAATTTCTAAAATACCATTCTAACTTTTAAAAACTGGCCTAATGATGTTAATATATAGGTAATAAAAGGAAATAAAAATGAGTGAAGGATACATAAAAAGAAAAGCTCCATAGAAATGAAAGCAGAATGATGTTTAAACTCAAAATTATTAAATAATACAAATGAATTACATTAATAACCATAAAATGTAAAATAGTGACAAGACTCAGAGATCTTATTCATGTTTTGTTATTACAAAAGGTTACGAAACAACTGTATGATAATCAGATTTGGCTATACTATACTCTTACCTTGTCTTGCTTTTGATAGGTTTGTTTTATGAATGAACGGGTGATTTCATGGAGCTGACGCAAAGCTGGTACCACCCATACAAACTGGGGATTGTTAAGTTGAGATGACTAGAGTTAAAAAGAAGTTACATAAATTAAATTTAAAAATAAATGGCAGACAAAACTTATTAGCTATAAAAAATGTCCAAGTCAATTAGGCTTCACTATTGCACATTCTATTATTTTTCTCCTCACATTGCTCATTTATAGCTTATCTCATGCATTCATAATTCAGTCTTCAGCTTCTTATTCTGCATGCAATTTCCTAAGGCCAAGAACTGCAAACAGGAGTGGATGTGAAGTGACAGCAAATGTACAGGGGTACGTCAGCAAAAAACAGACAACAAGGAATTAGCAACTTCAAAGGATAGATTAAGTAGCATAGGCTGCTAGGACATGTTGAGATAATAAAATAAATTGATGGCAAAAGCTTATCTTGGATAAGACAGAACTGGCTGATAAGTAAAATGGTATAAAAACATAGTTTTCTATAATTATATGATTAAGATACCAATGATATGATCAAGATACTGATAGTGGTCTAAATATTAAAGGAAATATTCACAATCTGCTTGTATTTCCTAGTTTAAACAATTTTAGAAGAGATAGTTCTATTTATATTAATTACTATAGCCACTTTATACTTATACTTTATATTTTTCAAAACACTTTTAAAGGTATTATTTCTGAAACGGGTACAGACAATCCAGATTTTCATAGTACACATCTGAAAAGTCTGATGTTCTATCTTTAAAAAGAGAATTGCTTTTTAATAAATAGTATCTTCAAACTATGAGACTTCATTATAAAATTTATAAGAATATTAGGTAAAACTCTAAAATCAACTGATCAATTAAATCCAAGAAACTAAGTAAAAGTTTAAGTCCTGAATATTTACTTTACAGGCTAATTTTTTTTAAGCTTTGCTTCTTAAAGTCTTTCTGTAATATGAAGAGCCCTGTGGGGGGAAAAAACTTTTGATGTCCTTTGTAGAAAAACATCCTACTACTGAATATGTAAATGAGAGAGCTCTATTGCCAGAACAATTGGTCTTCCTAGAAACTAGCCAATCAATCAGCCAATACCATATTTCCTGGATTCTAAGATACAAGTTTTATAAATTTCAACAAGTTCTGAAATTGATGCTTCTTACAACTATGTCAAAAGAAACTTAGCCTCTAAACATAGGAGTAAGTTTTGATACAGTTGTCCTTACTTGAGTATGTGCAAATTTAGCTGTATAGAAAGGTTATCTGTTCATCTACCTCTCCATTTGTCAGTTGGTATAGGAAACACCAACCAAGGAAGGTTTCTTAACTTTAAATGTTATAAAAAAGATTATGCTATAATGTAAAACTGACTAGCGTGTCATGTCCACAATTCAATTAAAAGCAAAGAAAACTGCTAGTGGTCTCAGAATAAAGCATTTTCCAAAGCCAGGAGAATTTTGTGTGACAGACTCATACCCTGTGAAGGGCTGTACCACTCAGCACTAAAGGCCTCTCTGTCCAAAGGTGTACCTTAATTTAGGAGAAGTTGTTTAGCGTGTAGTATACACAATTTAATGAAGTAAAAAAGCAGCTTGAATTTTATGAGAAAGGATAAGGACACAAAACTCCATACTCTTCAACATGCCTCAAAATTATACAGTCAATCTTAAAGATTTCAAAGAGGTCAAAACCACGATTATAGCTAATGAAAAGTAGTGTGCCACAGTGAAGCTGTACATACTGGTCAAAAGGAAGCTGAGGCAAACTCTGAATCTAAACAAATGCATGATAAAAGTGAAATGTAGTTTCTCTTTTACTTCTTTATAAACTTATTAAATCTTGTATCTTAGAATCAGAGAAATAAAGTATATACAGGGTGGGGCAAAAGTAGGTCTACAGTTGTAATAAAAATAACACAATAATTAATAACATAAGAATATGTTTTGTGTACTCATAAGTGTAAGCCTGCTTTTGCCATACTCTGTATTAAAGGCCAAACTTGCAAGACTAGCTAGAATATTTCTAAAATACAGAAGTTGAAAAATGGCAGTTTAGGCTAATTCTTAGGCCTAAAATAAACTGAGACCTTCTAAGAAAATTACAAACATAAGGACATAAAATTAACCCTTTAGCAAATAATTGATATATTAAAAAGTATTATGACCAATTAAGTCAATTAGGATTAGAATACTTTTGACATTAAAAATTATTCTTTGAAGGTAGCTCACTATCAAATAAATTAAAAAAAATACAAAAAGATAAAACTAGAATTTAAAAAGTATTTCTGATATGGCCTTTCTAAAGTTTAGCAAACAGGACAGATATTATTTATTCTATCATATCTATGACGTTATGTTGCTAAGTTACAAGAAAAATTTAAGCTACTCTTCTCCACTTACAAAAGAGGCAAAGATTATGGTGAACATTAAAATAAACATACCTGATAATATCTAATGAGGGAGCTGAGCTTCATAAGTGGGAGTTAACTGGTTTGGCCTGCAAATCTATGCCTAGATCCCTCTTTTCACTGCTGTGAAGTGACCAGTTAGTCTCCCAGTGTTTCTAGTGATGAGGAACTCAGGAGGCAGTGTTCTACTTCAGGCTATTCTCACTAAAGTTTATTGATCTATCATACTGAAACATGCCTTCCCATAACTTCTTAGAAGCCATAAAAGTGAAGTTGAATAAAACTTCTCTATAACAATCCTCCCAGTATCTACAGAAAGCTTTCATATTCTTTCTAGAGTTCTCTCTTCTCAAAGCTGAAGATCCCCACTTGTTCATCTGTCTTATTTATCCAGACCTAGCAATTTATCTAGAATTAAAAAGTAAAAGGTTTTACATGAGAGAACGTTTTTTAAAAAGTATTTCCCCCTGTCCTAACCACATCACTGTGAGACTGTACTGAGGACATCTTGCTACATTTACTTTCAGTTACGTGTTTTGGCAAATAGAGGCCACTCAACTATGGGTAAGTAACGCTTTTAGTGTATTTGAAGGGTGAAGGGGAGGAAGTAAGAGGAAGGGGAGCAACATTTACTGAAAGGCTGCCAGGCATTGAACTAGGAGGCCTTGAGATAATGACTTAAGGAATATGCAAATATCACTAATTAAGTAAAAATGAGTTTTTTTGGTTTAGTAATTTTTTTGGATGAGTACATTTAAACTTTTTAATTGAAGGAAAAAAGAAGTGAAATAAGATGGAGAGGGTTGGGGTAGACAGTGGAAGGTATAAAGGAAGCAAAAGAAAGAGGACCAAGGAAGCCAAGGGTATCCTGGCAGAATCTACAGAAAAATAAAGTTAAGAAATAAAGGTCAGAATTTCTGAACACAACAGTGGAACTTGGGAATTTTAAGAGTGTCAAAAGCAGGGGCAAAGGGAACCAGTTGGGGAAATAGGTAGCTGAGGGGAGGGGGAGGAAGAGGTGGGTGGTCTTGTCTTACCCTTTGCTTAGTTTCTGTGGAGCCTGGCAGGGAGACATAATCCCCAGTCAGCCCACCTTGCTGCCTGGCAGGAAAGGGCATAGCACAGAAAACACCTTTAGTGGCAGGATATACATCGCCCCGCCTGGGTCATGTCCAGGGGCTTAGATCTTCCCACTGCCCCCCTTCAGCCACGTGCACTTTAAAAGAACATCTGTAAAAGCACTTAGTCAACTGAAAAGTGCCATATAAATGCAAGATATTATTATTTGGAATAAAATAATGATACAACAGGATTTCTTTACTGGGAGCAGTGGGAAATAAAAGGAAGAATATTCTTTTCAAGACTCACAAAATAACTCCAAAATTCTCCCTATTACTTTTTGAGTTTTGTCATGAAACAGCAGACATGAATGAAGTGACTGCAAAGAGAAGCAATAAAGATGTAGTGAAGCTACTGGCTAGAAGAGCTAAGTAGTGCTTAGCTGTAATGAGGAAGGAACAGAGATCAGGAAGGTATTTTCTGGGTTTAAAAGTCATTTTCCTGGAGGGGGAAGAAGTCCCTTCAGCTTTAACCTTCATTTTCTATAAAGAAATGTATATGTTACTAAGAAGAAAAGACCATTTTTTTTATGGATATCCTTTTCCTCTTACTATTATTAGTGAAGGACCTAAAACTTCTTACGTAACTCTGGATTAGTTTCAATCATAAAGACAGAGGCTGCTAAATTATCTGAAAGGCTGAGCTGAGAAAACTGGAAAAATTCCAATTGTATCTGAGTAGGAGAGCAATGCTGTTGAATTAAAGAAGTAATTCCTCATAACCAGAGCACCACCAGCCCGTTTGTGAACAACTTATAAACAATCTCTAAAGCTAGACAATATGCAAAAAATTCACTTGATCAAATTCCAATGTCAGAAATATAAAACACCAAGTTTTTAAATGCCCCCAACTAAACTTTAGGACCAAATATAAATAAGACAATAAAAGCCCACTGAATCACCAAAACCTCTTAATAAGAACTAAGAATCTCGGAGTATACCAATGACAATCAACAGTAGTCAAGATCTTTAAAGAAATACTTCTTAGTGAAAGCTAAGAAAAATGATTTACCAACAAAATTACTAAGCCATTAACTATTTACCAAAACCTTTTATGTTAACAGTGAAATGAAATCCCTCTGGCTGCTAGGCTTACGTTTGGTCTGGGCAACCTCAGGGCCTCCGTAGGAGGAGGACACGGCTCCTGTGACCAGGGCCGTTGCAACACCGGGTGTGTGTCCAGTGAGCGGCCACTGTGATTAGCCCTCTCAGAGGAGAGACTTGACATCTGAGGACAGGAGCAACAGGAGAGCAGCAATGACCACTGCTTCCTCTGCTAACTACCCTTTTAAAGGACAGTCCAGAGTCCACTGGAACCTGAGGCCAGAGCCCTGCAGGGTAGGGCTTGTACAGAGCCAGTCCCTCTTGTAGTCACTGCCCAAACCTACCTTCTAAAATGGAGTCCCAGCAGCAGACACTCACCCATTCACTGTTTGTCTAAGGAGGTACTTTAGGAACACATCTGAATCAAGCACCTAAAAAAATGACCATGTGCCAGCACTGAAGGAAATTTCTCACTTTCTCTCTCTCCTTCTTACTCTATAAATGTTCCTCCATGGGAGAAAAATGGTCATATTTACTTAGAATCCACTGTACTTATTTAAGCTGTCCACACTTTGGAATTAATTTTAAAAAGGTTAAGTTGAAGTTCTTATAATTTTATAAAAATAACATAATAAAACTACTCTGAATCTGATTCTGGATATTTCCCCCTCCCCCCGAGAATCAATAACTCAAGTTGTAAATAATAAAGCACAGGTCATAAATATTTAAATAGCGATCTGTATTGCACATTAGTCTAAGAAATACTAAAACACATTATTTTTAAATTATGATACAACTTATTTTTTAAAATTATTAAATTAGTATACCTTTTAGTTGGTTCCATCTGCAAATTCTTACCTTGAATCCATCCTTCTTTTTTTCCAAACCTGACCATTCTCCAGGCTGAAAAATTGTTTTAAGAAAAATATAAGTGACTTGGTAAAGTAGTTATAATGTCCCAATCTTGGATTCTAAAGGTAAAAGCTTCCAGAAGGCATTCAGTTTAAATTACATAATAGTGGAGGAAAATTATCTGACTCTAATTCTGAGACAGAATTATTGTTCTGACAAAACCAGATCAAACATAAAACCAACCCTTTTAATATCTTCTATGCACTTGATGATGTAGCTCCTCTTGATCGCTTCTTTCACTGCATATGCGTCACTAAGGATTGTCAGGTGTTCATCCAAAGCTTGCTGAATGAGGCTGCTGGGCAGTGTTGGAAGATGAGCCAGTTCCCAGAGTACATCTAACACCTACAATAATACTCATATGATAAGCCAGCCAATACACAAGGAAACTGCTTTAGGTATTTGTAGATAGAAAAATCCATTGGATTTCCCTGCCTTTCCAGAAGTGGTCTCAAAGCGAGCTTCCCGGCCTATCCGTCCAATCAGGCTCAATAGCTTCTGTCTTACTCGATCGCTCTCAATCTCCCAGCTCTGTAAAACAGAAAGACAAGAATTAGTACACTACACAGTGTCATCAAACTGGCAAAATATGCAAAACTTTAAACTTGAACTAAAAATGTTTAATAAAGTAAAAGGAGTACATTTAAACACTACTAATTTGGGGGAGGGGCAAACCTCAAAATAAGCTTATTTTAGAAAAACGTGAAAGGATATTTGATTGGCACATACCTTCTGAATGAGAACAAACAAATGATTGAGCTGATCTGAATTAAACTTGACAGCTGCTGCAGCAATAATAGTATGAATATTCTCGATCACAGTAGATGATTGTCCTGACTAGAAAGGAGACATTGGGAGAAAGTTAAGTCTTGGAACTTGGAAAAACCCAAGTCTTCTCCCTGGTAATTTATAGAAGCAAAAGAGTCTTATCAGCATTCACTTCCATGATAATACTGGCAAGTCTATGAAGCAAACATTATTGATGGTTACCAGTTGGCCTTGTTTAAATTTCTAGCAGCATTAAATCTTTAATTACTTTACAAGACAATCATACTCACTTTTCTTAAATGAGCTTGATTGCCTCAGTTGAAGAGTTTTATCTGCCACATTTTTAATTTTGCTCATAGATATTTTATGACTTCAATGAATATTTATTTATTCCATGAGCAGTCAGTCTCTGCTTCAGGGATGTAGACCCCATGGTTGACCTTATGTTGAAATTCACTTTATAGCCTCAATCACAACTCTGTCATGCCTCACTGTTCACTATGTGAGAGCTTTGAAAGGTAGGAGGACTTTTAAATATTCAATTATACAACAACTAGAGGCCCGATGCACAAAATTCGTGCAAGAGTAGGCTTCCTTCCCCCCGGCTGCCGGCACCGGCTTCCCTCCGGCTGCAGGCAGGCACCCAGGACCCGGACTTCCCTCAGTCCCGGCTTCATCCGGAAGGTCATCCAGAAGGATGTCAGATCTAATTAGCTATTACACTTTTATTATTATAGAAGATTTGCTCAGTATCTACTAAACACACACACTTCCTGAATGTAGCAGGGATAAATAAAATATATATCATGGTCTCTAATCCTCAATCTGTGTGAATTCAAAACTTGCAAAAAAAAATTATGACCGTATTCAAGTAAGGTCAAGACATGGGAAATAAAATTCAGGTGTTTTTTTTCAGTCTTACACCTAAACTTTCTATAGTCTGTTATGTAATGCCAGGCTGGGAGCCTGAAAAGTACATTTCCCCTGCCAGCTGTGCTCCCATTATGTTCTAGCAATGTGAGGTACTCCTGGGAGATGAGCAGGCAGGAGGAAGAAAAAAGTGTATCTGGTCTGTGCTTGGGGACTGGATGCAGGTGCTGACATTTGTGTCAGCAGGGATACTGGAGCCCTGGTGGCAGTATTGCCTCTTTGACAGTTTAGCACGTGCAGTGAAATAACCTCCCAAAACAGCTTCCCTTCCTTGGACTTAATATCCCTTTTCATGTTTTGTTGTTCCAACATTTATACTTCCCTTTTTGTTCTTCTGTCCTAGCAACATCTTTGCAAACAATGCCCTATATTAAATTCCCTCTGAGATACCTAGCACGGTTTCTGTTTCCTGACTGGATTCTGACTGATACAGTAGAGATAGCCAAGGTGAGCTCCAGGTTTCATCCTGGCTTAGCAACTAGATGAAGAATACTATCATTACTGAGTAGACTGGAAAATTACTAGGCTTGGCCATGTTGAATTTGAGATGCCTACGAGATAACACAGGTAAAGGTGTAACAGTTAGGTATTTAGGTATACTGCCCAGGAGCTCTAAGAAGAGGTGTGAATTAGAGATATATTAGTAATTCTGAGAGTCACCAGCATCCAAATGTAGTGGAAGTCATGGGGGGTGGTGGGGGGGGGGTAGATGAAATTGACCAGTGCAGGATTATATAATGAAAAAGGGCTAAAGACTAAGACTTGAAAAAAACTCATATTCACAAGGTAGAAGACATAAGTTAGTAAATGAGACTTAAGAAGGAATGCCAGAAAAGTAGGGGAACGGACTATTAACAAAGTGAAGGAAAAAGGAATGAAGGGTATAACTGATTCTGTCACAGATGCTGAGAGTTTTGGTAAGATGAGATCTATAAACTCAATATGACTACCATCCTCATTTAATAGAATTAAATGGGAAAACTGTATTAATGAAAACTGAAAAGAAATATAGTAAAAAGAACACTGGAATGATAAACAAGACATACCTATTCCTAGCTCTGCCACTAACTGCTACACAGCCTGCAGTAAGGCTTTTCATTTTTCAATCTGAGAAATGAGAAGACTAAACTAGATCAGTAAGTAGCTTTATACCTTTTGAGTAGAAGAATCCTTTTTACATATACAATCTTAATAGCAACTCTATTTTTTAAAAAAATATAGTTTTATTGACTTCAGAGAGGAAGGGAGAAGGAGTGAGGGCTAGAAACATCAATGATGAGAGAGAATTATTGATCAGCTGCCTCCTGCACACCCCTATGGGGGATTGAGCCCATAACCCCAGGCATGTACTCTACAGGGTTCAATTCTGGAACTGAACTGTGACCTCTTGGTTCATAGGTCGATGCTCAACCACTGAGCACATTGGCCGGCCTTAATAGCAACTCTAAACTGTACAGATTTCAGTAGAGCTGCTCTGGTTAAAGCAAGATTGAAGTTCCATTTTCCTGCTTACTCTCCATTCTCTTCCTTTTCGTTATTATAAAAATGTCAGATGAAAGCAAAAATAACTCTAATTAACTTACCTGTATCTTCCAAATTTTAGTGAGTTCATCTAAAGATAATTTACTGCCCAAGAGTTCAATAATTCCCTTTATACGATCACAGTACTGCGCTTGGTCTATGTTGCCTAAGAGAAGAAACAGCAGAGGGGCAGGCAGGTACAGTGAACACTGACTTTGTAAATATGATTCTAGTAATTCAAAGCAATATTAACTTTCTATAAGATTATTCAAAGGCTAATCAAAGCAACAATTTCATAGCTTTTTTTATACAAAAATGTTATTTATAATTATGTATGAGGTAATATTATTTTAAAAGCAACTTACCTTCCAGTGCAATTGACAGAACTGAGTTTTCAACTAGCCAATCTAACAATCTGTCTGTATCTATAGCATTCTTCACAGATTTGGATAAAGTGCTATCTTCTATTAGTTTGGTTACCTAAAAACAAATAAACAAAACATACCAGGATTATTGTGATGGAAAGTAATGCAAATATGTATAATCAAAATCTTCACATATATACATATCCTGTGACTTTTATAGTGTTACAATATGGTCTGACAAGTAGCTAAAATATATCAAAGGCCAGTTATTAGACATTAACAGATTACTTGTGCTATCTTTTTTTAAAAGTATGGAACCATTCTTATGGCTCAGACTTCCTGGGCCACTGCTGACTGGCTCAGGGATAAGCATCTGACCCAAATTTTAATCAAGGCATGTCCTCCAAATTCTATACTTGGGACCGAAGAGCAAGTACTAGTCCCTCCAGGGTGATGGGAGCAATGTGGGGCCATGATGTCTACCATATGAAGGATGTTACTCTGCCGGTAGAGGAACAACAAAGCCAACAAGCTCAGAAAAGCAGAGTTAAGACTTCGAAAGAGTCTTGGATGCGGTCAGGTCTTGAATTCTAATTGTTCTTGTTGCCCACATGTCTTCCTGCCCCTTACATGGTTTGGCTAGTCAATTCTTCATTCATATGAAACAGCCCAGCCTTCTTCCACTAAATTTCTCTATGGCCTAGGACAGCGGTCGCCAACCTTTCAGACCTCACGGACCACCAGCAGTCTGCAGACGACCGGTTGGTGACCGCTGGCCTAGGATGATTTAAGATGAGCTTATTTCACTTGCAGCTAAGAATCTTAGTTAATACAAAACTGAAGGAAAAAGATTGGAATTATAACTCAACTCTATTGGTTCCATCTGTCACTCACCAAAATCAACTACGTAAACACATATTTGAAATATAATAAAAGGAATTGTACCCTTAGGCTAAAAAATAAATCTCAAACTGTGTATGTCAAGAAATTATGTTCTAGGAAATATCACGAAAGCATCAAATATTTCAAACATTTCAGAGGACAAATTTTTAATATAATCTAAAAAAGTCACGTTATTAACATAATTAGAGGCCTGTGCCCTCTCGCAATCTGGGACCCCTCGGGGGATGTCAGACTGTTGATTTCAGCCCGATCCCTGCAGGCCAGGCCGAGGGACCCCACCAGTGCATGAATCTGTGCACTGGGCCAGTTTCAACCTGATCCCTGCAGGCCACGCCAAGGGACCCTACCAGTGCGTGGATGCACCGGGCCTCTAGTATGCATGTAAGATCTTTGGTTAATCTCTTCTCACCCTCCCCCTTCCCTCTGAGATTCATCAGTCTGTTCCATGTTTCTAGCCTGTGCATTAAGCGTCTGCCCCCTGGTGGTCAGTGCACCTCATAGCTACTGGTCAGTCCGCTGGTCGCTTAGGCTTTTATATACATAGATTATAAACATACACACCATTTCACATAGAATCACATCCCTTTTTTGTATGATTACAAGAAATTGTTCATTTCCCAACATTTTTATATAATAACTGTAAGTTTTGGCAGAACTTAAAGTGTCTGTGCTTTAAGTCTTCTAGAAACAAATGAAAAACTTACTTCTTTGAGGGAATTCATTTTAGCGCTAAAATGGGGTGATTTCAGCATGCGCAGTAGGATGTCTAATCGAAGGTCGTCCACTACGGTCACCAGTTCTGGTTGGAAGCGCATGCAAAGTAACTTGATGGCAGATAAGAGCTCAGGGATACTAACCAATCTCTTTTATGAAAAACACATACACACACACAAAAACAAAAAAGGAAACATAAAAACATTTTTATCCCAATTCTTACACACACAGGAAATACAGGACATTTTCAATAACAATAGTCTGTGCTATCTGATACTCCACATGGTCAATCAGCTGCATTTTGCTTCTCAACATGGGTGAGCAATGGAAAGGAAAGGATCCTGTGAGAAATTCACGGCAGACAAATAAATCATGTTGTTGCATGTTTAACTGCTTTAAACAAATTTGGATAAACTTTTAGTACTGAATTATTTTAAAGCTTCTTCATTGCTATACAAATTATATTAAAATCAACATGTTGCTGAAACCGGTTTGGCTCAGTGGATAGAGCGTCGGCCTGCGGACTGAAAGGTCCCGGGTTCGATTCCGGTCAAGGGCATGTGCCTGGGTTGAGGGCACATCCCCAGTGGGAGATGTGCAGGAGGCAGCTGATCGATGTTTCTAACTCTCTATCTCTCTCCCTTCCTCTCTGTAAAAAATCAATAAAATATATTAAAAAAAAATAAAAGTAAAAAAAATAAAATCAACATGTTAGTAAAATTCTGAATGATGTCACTGAGAACCCTATATTTATTCTATTGACTGAGATAGCACCAACCATTTATGCTTCAGAAGCAGCATTTTTCAATTAGAAAATGTATAATTAATTTGATCTGAGTTGTACAGGACCAGAATCCAAAAAACAATGGAGTGTGAACTGAGCCCCAAGTCCTGGCTCTGCTTCCATGGACCAATAGGCACTGGGGCCTGTCTGCTGGAGACAGCACTTACCTTGTCTTTGAGGTCCTTTTCCTCCACACTCCGCACATCCTGGATTGTAGTAAGGATGACCGGGTCTAGCATAGGCTACAGAAAAAAAGTACTACCTTAATAAAAAGTCCTGAATCTGTCCTAAAATTAGAGAGGAGATACTTCTTCATTCACCTTCCACAAAGGAGACAGTGCAATTCTAGTAGCAGAGCTAACACTACCTTGCTAATACCATTCCAAGAAAACCTTTAACTGCGTTTATGCCTCAGCTTCTTTAATATCTGAGGGGGGAATCCCTGTAATTACGATCTTATAACAGTAACTTTAAAGAGCAACCAAAGACATATGGACTTTTAAAAATTAAGCACGAATATGTATTAATTTTGTAATAAAGTAAATATTTTGCATTTGATTTTAAAAAATGAATATAAGCACAGACCACAAAAACTATGCTATTATATGCACTACTTTTGCTTGCTGATATAAATGAGGCCCATAGATGAGACTCACACAACACATTACTCCAGGATGGTAGCATAATCAGACAACTAACTGTAAACAGTATGTGAGAAGTAGTCAAATACTAGCTAAATCTAAATGATCACTTCCATCTAAGTAAAATAATTTTTAAAACTTATCTGGTGATGAAAGAAGATGAACAATATTTGGCTGTGAAAGCTAAGAAGACATTAGCAATGAGTTAAAATGACATCAGGCAATTAACCAAATAGAATTTCTTAATGCTGATTGTACAGTGAGGACTGAGGACTATTAGGGTAAAGGCAAGGCACACTGTTCTTGTCAGCAAGTGCCAGCCCTGCTTCTCACTGCAACTCTGTGAGATAAGCATGATTATCATCACCATTTTACAGATAAGGAAGTCAAGGCACAGAAGTTACATCAAAATCGCACAAGTAACAAATGGTAGAAACAACTATTAATTTATGGCAAGTAACATGGTATGACTATGGCATGAATTTAAGGTTGGGTAGTTTAATATAATAAAATAAAGATGAAATTAAATATGTTTTGGTTGGAAAGTCATCTACTTTTTTACTCTTTTTCAAGTAATCCTATACTTGTATATAAAACCTGAAATTTCTAAAGAACTTAGTATTAACTAGCAGCTGGAATATTTATGCTGAATCTCTTTCCACGGAGCATTGCATGCATTTAAAAATCCAATCCTGGCCTTGTTACTAAAAGAATTAAATTATTAATTCTTGTTAAATTATTAAATATTCAAATCACTTTGCCTCTTTGTGTCTTAGTGTTTCAGTTACAAAACTAATGGTTACAGTTACATGCTTAATAAGTTGAAAGAATACTAGATGTTTATCAAGAGCTTAATATCCAGAATGAAAAAATCCTATCACTCTATTTCATTTGAAAATCTTGCAGTATTACTTTGACATCTAAAGAAGGCATTAACACTGGAAATAGCAGAAATTTCCAGAACCTACTAAAAAAATCGTATCTCCCTTGTTAAAATGGCCCTAAGTAAATCATGTTTTAGAAAGAAGGAATTGTGGATAGAAAACATTGCCCCCAAAGGACACCGCGCTTTTAAATTTACAGTGATTTTAAAAAATCTCTAACAGTTACCAGTTTCACACACTTATTTATAAATAAAATAATAAATGGAGGTATTTCAGTGTGATATTTTATTCAGTAAAGCTTGTTAACTGAAATGGAAAGGAAATGAGAGTATAATAGGCCTTAAGCACTACAAAACTGAACACTCACAGCTTTGAGTATTCTATGATCTGTTGACTTACAACATGCAGAGACAGGAAATCAGACAAGATGTGCTATCAAGCTGTTATTCGGTAGTGAGAGATTCAGCTAGTAAGTTAGTCTAGTGGGTTGTTCAACATTGATCTAATTTAATACATAATGGTACCGAACCTTAAAAATCCTGTGAAGGGAGTGGGATTTATGCAGCCTTTTTACAGACAAGAAAATGAAAAAAAAAATATATGCTGTTATATATAAACTAGAGGCCTGGTGCACAAAATTTGTGCACATGGAGGGGCAGGTCCCTCAGCCTGAACTGCTCCTTCTCGCACCTCCATGGAGCAGGCCTAAGGCATCAGTCGGACATACTTAGTGCTGCCGTGGAGGCGGGAGAGGCTCCCATCACCGCTGCTGCGCTAGCCAGCCATGAGCCCAGCTTCTGGCTGAGCGGTGCTCCCCCTGCGGGAGCATACTGACCACCAGGGGACAGCTCCTGCATTGAGCATCTGCCCCATGGTGGTCAGTGCGTGTCGTAGCAACCGGTCGTTCTGCTGTTCTGTTGATTTGCATATTAGCCTTTTGTTATATAAAAATAATGTCTTATTATGGGCAAGGCCTCTAATTCAATTTTTTTTAGGTAGTTAAAGGGAGGGGAAGAATTTTCACTTGAGCCTGAAGCTAAAATTGCCCTTAGCTCAAAAATCTGCATACCACTGAGACACACTTGGTGAGGCTCATTCTGAACCCATACACTGTTCTATTATGTGTATAAGTATTGGGAGCCATCTTATCTCTTTAGTGAAAGAAACCTTTTGTTATGTTACAATGACTAACTTTATCTCATGAGTTGTGTTTTGGCTTCAAGCCTGCAAGTATTCATGCAGCAACTTCAGCGCTTCTGTTCAATATTTACCTGGCATATCTTTTATTTTATTTTCTCTAAATATTTCTAGATTTTTATGTATTAGATAGGAATAGCCCATGGACACAGACAGTAGTCTGGCTAAGGCCTGGAAGGGGTGGGTGCAGGGTGGAGGAGATCAATGGGGGAAAAAAAACAAAACTAAAACAAAGGGACATCTGTAACACTTTCAACAATAAAGATACATTTTAAATAAAGAAAAATATCTTAGTTGAAAAGTTTTATGTGAAATAATATAAGTAATTGCTCTACACTGTACTTTATATTCTCAACTCCTCTCAAAGAGATATTAATTGACCCTATGTCACTTAATATTAATTGACCCCATGTTCAATGACTGCAGGACTGACTTCCACACCGACCCAGCACTGACTGCCATGGGGCTGCGATCAGACCCTGTTTTTTCCTCCCGGTCTGTTCCAGACCGAGGGTTCCATCTCCGTGAAACCCGGGTCAGTCTTTGCATCGGGCAAGTGGAATCGCTGAGGCCTATTTGAGAGTCGCCAAGGCTGGGAGCGTGATCTCAGAACAGTTAAAAACACGTTCCTGAAGGGATGCTACGGGTTCTCATCAAAAAGCCCACACGTGTCTGTGCTCCACCAACAGGGTTGCTTTAACACAGAAGCCTCCATCTGCAAGCCCACCGGCTCCAGGAGCAGGCGGGAGGTTGAAAGTGGCCGTGGGTAGATGAGGCCGGTGCCAGGCGACCTGGCAGGTGTCAGCAGCTTGGCTGTCTGAGCCCCAAGCGCGGGGAGACAGGCTCTGACGTCACCACCACGTGGAGGATTTGACAGCAGCGGCTTCAGAGCTTGTTGCTATTTTGTTTTATTTATATCTCCTTTTCCCTTTAAATCTCTAGGTTGCCTTTGTTGGAGAGAGGAGCAGCCTTTGCAGCCTCCTCGGTGGAGAGCAGGCCTTCGATCTGGGTTCACACGCAGCCAGAGTCCTGTTTAGAAACACGTGTGGGTCTTGCATTATTTGCTCTGTTACCGATAAAGAGGGTTTTAGATTCTGGCACGTACGTATGTTTCCTGCTTATCCACGACGGCAGGCCGAGCGCAGCCACAGGCACAGCCACAGTTCTTCACTCCTTCGCAGGCCTCCGTCCAAGGGCGGCGGTGCAGGCGCTTCACACAGGGAGGGGGACGGAGAGCAGGTGGGGCAGCCCTGCTTTTCCCAGACCTTCTGTCTCAGTCCCCATCTTCCTGCTCCGGGTCTGTAGGGTCTTCCTTTTGAGGCAGATTCAGGCGTCTGGGGGACATGTTTATCACACGCTGTTTTCCGTGTGGGTGGTCAACAGGGGGGTGGTTCCTGAATCAGGCTTCCTTCGGCATTGCAGTGGCGGGGTGGGGAGGGGAGACAGCATGAAGGTGCAAACACAACCCGTGGGGACTTCTCGCTGAGCGCCTTCTGTATACCTTCTTTATACCTGGTGGGCGTCTCCCCTCAGAAAGGGTGCTCCCTATATCTGCGACCAGTAGGTGTGTGTGTGTGTTGCGGGGGGGGATGGATGAGGCTGGTTGGCTGCTGCAGTGCCCTCATAGCCAGTGTCAGCGGGTGGGGCAGAGTACCTGGGACCCTGGATTCCCTCTGGGGTTTGCAGAATCGCCCCCTCCCTTTGTTCTCCCATTCTCCGCGGAGGAGGCAGCTGTTGGCAGACAGCAGGGCGGATGGATCCACCATCAGACCTACCGCCCGACCTCCAGGGAGGTTTCCTGACCCCTCTGTGTCCCCTGCTCACCTGAAGCCCCTAAAATAGTCGGGTGCCCACTGCTCAGAGGCTCCCGAGAGCTCATGGAGGTGGGCCCTTGGTCATCGGTTTTTATTTTTTTACTACATTTCTTCCGTGTGCAGTGTCACACTTCATCTGGAGCAGGGTAGGCTCAAGTGACCTTGTGGAGTGTCTAGGCAGGGGAAGAAACCCCAGTGCCATGGTTGTCAGTGCCTACAGCTCCGGACCACCCCACTTGATTTTAAACCCAAACCGCCTTGGACAGGCCTTCAAGGTCTTTTTTCCTTCTGTCTGCTCACATTCAAGTGCTGGCAGTGCTGGTCCCTTGGTGCCTGGCCTGTCCTCTTCAGATTCAACCTGCAAGACTACTAAGGAAGCCAGTCCAAGGGATGGGAAGCAGCCTCAGTGCTGATCGCGATCACGGGCTGCAGGCAAGGCGGCACCTCCGATCGCAATCACCAGCTGGGGGGTGGGCAAAGGTGGCCCCGGTTAACCGATCCAGGGCTGGGGGGGCAGGGCAAAGGCGGCCCCCCCGGGCCACCTTTGCCCTGCCACCGAGCTCTTGCCTGCCGCCTGGGTTTCCAATCACTGTTCTTCCGTCCTTCCCCTTTCGCCTCCCATCATTGTGCCTATGTATGCAAATTAACCGCCATCTTTCTTGGCAGTTAATTTGCATATCGCCCTGATTAGCCAATGGGAAGCATAGCGAAGGTACGGTCAATTACCCTTTTTGTCTTTTATTAGATTAGATTACATTTATAAAATGATAAATTAAAAAGGAAAGTAATCTCAAATGTTAGAGGTCTCCTAGACCTTAAATTATTAATCATTTAAAATTTTTCTCCTGCTGGTATTTCCACTAGAAGTTACTCTGGATTAGGTACAATTCTGGACAAACCTGATAAAAAGATAATTACTGTTTGTATGTCTTAGATCACCTTCTGAAGTAAATGTAAATGGCCCAATCTTACCTGAACCACTGAGGAATTGAGGTACTCTGCACACACCCCTAAGGGCTGCACCAATGCTGAGACTGCCTGAAAAAAGACAGTGAAGGTTAGAAATAAATGTAAGTGGGCGCTTTTCCTTCAACATTAAATAAATTCCTTTCGCTATGTCAGAGAAAATTTTAAATAGAAGTTTTATCAAGTCACAAATGAATAACTAGGCCAACTAAACTCTTGGGTAGAAAGAATTGATATAAAGATGTCAATCCATTTAAATTATTATAAAAAGTTAATGTAATTTAAATAACAGCATGCCAATAAAACTTTTTTGGAGGACTAGCTGAAATGATTCTGAAGTTCATGTTATACAATACTGAAAATTTTTATTTGAAAAAGGAGAAAAGGGGAGAACGGTTGGGGAAGGAGTGAAATGTGCCATTAACAAAAAGATATTTGAACACTATAAAAGTATACTGCAATATATACAAGAAGGCTCAAATAAATGAGGAGATACCATGTTCTTACATGAAAAGGACTAGTACAGTAGAAATATAAATTCTCCACACACTATCTATAAATTTAACACAATCTCAATGGGATTTTCTGCAGGAGAACCTAACATGTTGATTATATTCAGAAGAATAAAAATATGAGAATGATAAATAAAACTGTAAAGTATAAAATGAAATGAGTGTTTTTATAACCCTGAGATGGGAAGAACATTCCCCAAGCAAGTTATGAATCTTTTAAGCCATTAAGAAAAATAATGACTACATAAAATTTTGAAGCTTCTGTGTAGCCAGCAATAAAAATGAAAAGAGAAGCAAGAGACCGGAAGAAAAAATCTACAAACACACAAAATAAACATGGCTTGGATAAGCTTACTATAAAAAGAATTCCTGAAATTTATCAAAACAAAAAACCAAAAGAGACCTACATAACTGGGTCAAGTTAAAGAAGAAATAGAAACAGCCAATAATTGTATGATGAAATGCTCAAATTCACAGAAAATTGGAATATTACAAATTAATAAAATATCATTTCCTATCCATCATATTGAAAAATTAAAGATTGAAAATAATCAGCACTAATAAAAGGATTAGGAAATGACTTTGTGAGGAAGAGATTTAGCACTAGCAATTATAATTTTAAGATGTATGTAAGTCTCTAACCCAGAAATCCTGTTTTCCAGCAACCTATCCTTCAAAAATGGCTGCATATACAAATAAAGACAAATTTACATGGAATACTCTCCGCAATAGCAAAAACTTAGAAATAATCCAATGCTCATTCATAGATGACTGCATCATGGTACAACTTCTGTAGGAATACACTGGAGCCATTAAAAACACTGACAGTACTAACCTGGAAAGATGTCCATGATATAATGTTAAATGAAAAAATGCTACTAGGCATAGCTTGATTATAATTTAGTCTTAAAGAGAGAAAGAACATGTACAGATGTATTTTATGTAAATTTAGAAAAAACTCAGAAAGGCTAAGCCTAAAATGGTAACCATTTTCTAGGAGGTAGGTATATTCGTGTGGTGGGGACAGAGTGCAAGAAAGGCAAATTTCACTTCTTATTCTGAACAGATATTAATTTTAACTGACGGACTGTGAATGGTCTCCCTCCCCCAGTATTTTTCAAATTCAAAATATTTAATGTGAGTGTAAATGTTAATGTAAAATGAAACATTAAATTGTACTCCATTTATCATATGGCCTAAATTTATTCTGGGACATAGTCACCTTCTTAACTGGTCAGAAATCAGGCATTTATTGTGAAATTTTCATCATACTTTTTAAGAGTCTCAATTTTGGAATCTCTTTCTCTTAGGCCTGAATTTTACCATCCCTCAATACAACCTAAACAATATAATTCTACATCAACTGCAATACACAACACAGTTGTTGTAAAAAATGGTCTGAACTGAGGAAAAAATCTTGGAAAAATCTTTAACCTCAAGACATTTGAAAATAATGACAATAAGCTCAGATCCCTATATATCTATCTTTAACCAATTTTCATCCAAATAGTGTAGAAATTTTGGCTGCTCTGTATTTTTTTTTTTTAATCCTCACCCAAGACCATGCTTTTATTGATTTTAGGGAAAGAGAAAGGGGAAGGGAAGAAGAGAAACATTGGCTGCCTCCTGCACATGCCCCAATTGGGGATGGAACACACAACCTGTATATGTGTCCTGACCGGGAATCAAACCTGAGACCTTTCAGAGTACAGGACAAAGCTCCAACCAATTGAGCCATGCCAGCCAGGGCTGTGTTAACCTTTTTTAAAAAATGAAGTTAAATTTCTGATATCAGCTGAATAAAACCCTCTTTCTCAATAGGTTTCTGTTTTATTTTTGCTTTTTAAAATCACTACCTATTATCTTCCTGGTCAACAGTCATTTCTAACATAGTTTATTCAATGGGGATAAAACAACAGCCCAACAACCTAGCTAATGTTCAGGGAAGGTGGAAGAGGCTTCCTGATCAGGGTCAGTGGAAGTACTTATGATCTGGCAGGCATCTGATCTTTAAGGACAAACAGTGGGTGGCAAGAAAGGGTCAGTCTATTACCAACCATAACATCAGTCTTTTTCCTTGACTGTTATGTCCCTCATGCAAAGATTAGTCATGGTCCCACAGAAATAACTGTTACTCTAACCACAATTTGCATCACTTAGGCATATAATTTTACATATAATTTTCTGCTCTGATCTATTTACAGTAGCTAGCACAGTGTCTTATACATGGAAAGTACATAAGTGTTTGTTTTTAATCCTCATCTGAGGATATTTTTTCCATTGATTTCCAGAGAGAGTGGAAGGGAGGGGAGAGGAGGAGAGAGAGAAAGGAAAACATCGATGTGAGAGAGAGAGACATCAATTAGATGCCTCCCGCACAAACCCCTACAGGGGCTAGGGAGCCCATAACCAAGGTACGTGCCCTTGACTAGGAATCGAATCTGTGACCCTCTAACCACTGAGCAAAACTGGCCAGGGCTACATAAGTTGTTTTTAATTGAATGACTAATTACCTAGAGAACAGAATAAAGTGCTCCCAGCTATGAACAAGTCAGCAGTCTGTGCAAAATTAAAGATTAAATTATTTCCCTAACCACAAGGTTAAATTTTTTTTGAGAAAATGAAGTTGACATGAAAAGATAATGGTGTTGCACCTGAGGGATGATTCTCAGCTCCTTTTACAGCCCTCTGTTATCTATGCATCGTTGTAACACCAAAAAGCTTACTATACAACCTTAGAGTATTTTGTTTGTGCCTGATTCTATGAAATAAATTGATTTAACTGAGGCATAAAATTGTTATGTACACAAATACTTGCCACATATACCAATTGTCCTTAAATAACAAGAAAACTGCATGTAGCCATCACAAATTAAGAGAAGAATACCATATGCAAAGGGAAATTAATGAAATAACACCCTATATTGAAATTTGGTTGTTATGAATAAGAGTAAGCATTTCTACGGTTATCAAAACTATGGAAGCTGGCTCTGTAAAGACTATATTATACTGTAACATTTAATTTAATGTGTCCAGGTCATGTCCCTTGGTTACATACCAACACAAATATAAAGTGAACTTCCACATCAGGCACATGTAGGGGCTTAACTTACCCCAAGTTCTATATCTTCTGAACGGAGCTTAGCTTGAATTGCTGCAAATCCACCCAATTCTCCAAACTGGAAAGAAGGTACAAGTTCATTTTAAAATGCCACACATTAATATTTTAAGCAAGGAATTAAGGCTAACGTTCTACTCTATCAATGCACTCTATGCCCTTGTGACACACTCACTGCAGGAGATGTGCTGAGTCCTAAGGCTGGTTTCCATCTGGATAAACATCATGCATAAAAAAGAGGAAGGGACTATAAAACCTGTCTCCCTAGGAAAAAATTCTGATTATTCTCTCTAGTTGTCATCTACTTAATATACTAAATTCTAGGAAATTTTATTAGAACATGAAAAGTAAGTCATTAATAAAAGTTGTATACCTTGTTTACCAAATCCACAACCCATCCATGAGGTTCCTATGAGAAAAGAAAATAGAAATTGAGATGGCAATATAAAAAGTTCCCATGAACTCTTATATTTCTTTTTTTCTAAAAAATACTGGACAGACATGTATTAAAATCTGAAAAACATTTTGAAAGGTTTTCCCAAATGCTTCGTAATGCAAATCTCTGACATAACTATATATAATTTTAGGAGTCTCTAAGTCTGTATTATAACTGTACCTATTGTTTGTTATATAGTAATTTTTTGTTTTCGTATTTCTTCCACTATGCTTTAAGTTATGAATCATGTCTTATTACTCCTTGTATTAAGAAAAATGGCCTTTTAATTTATATCTCCAAAACATAGAATAATGTCAGACACAGTATATGGTCAATAAATGATTGAACATTTACTTCCAAACCTCTACTTCTGATAAAGAACCTCTATTCTGCTAAAGCAATGGACAAGTTTTTTATCTACTAACTTGACTTCTTTCAACTGTTTCTTAACAACCAGTTGTTTGATCAAGGGATTGTTTAAATTATGTCCTCCTTGTGGATATAACGCTATTCACACACTGTAGGACTTGAAAGATATAAAGATACTGGTTCTGTACTTGAAAACAAAACTGTTAATGCTTATGGAGTTTAAAAGAAAATTATACATGAAACTACTAAATTATTTTTTCTAGGTATAATTAGTCAATTCAAATGATTTCAAATAAGGAACTGGGACAGCTATTAAACTGGGGTTCTGATAATTCAGTAAACAGGGCACTGATGTTATGTAGTCATTTCTCATTTCACTCAACATCACTTCAAGTCCATAAAATTCTTCATGATGTTAGTTAACATCTATGGAAAAATATAGAATATCTAAAAAAAAAGAAAGGTCAGCAATTTTGTGAGTCATACAGAATATTTGTCATTTTTCATAGACTGTTTTAACTCTTCTGTGTAAACTGTTATTTTTACAGTACAGAAACCTTTTTCAATACATTTCTCAATAAAAGATGAAACAAAATTATGTTTACCTTTTGGAAAGTAGATACAGGTGAGATAGCAAACATGTTTCCCTCTCCGAACACTTCTGCCCAATTCCTTTGAGACACTTTCATTCTGTTTTTAAAATGGTATTCATTATCAGGATTGAAAGCCTAGATTCAAAGAGAACATAGAAACATTATTATTATTTATTTCTATAGAAACACATATTAACATTAGAAAAGATAAAAATACAGCCTTGGGCTTCTTTATTAACGGAATCTTACAAGTATCCTCACAAAGCATACTCTAGCTGATGCAGAGGAACAAATGACTAAAGTGGTGTTCTCCTGTCCTGTTCAACATTTGCTGTGAGGGAAGAGAAGGAGGTAACAGGCTGATTCAAGCAAGGGGATACCAATGTTCAAGATATCTTAGGGCTGCCACAGGCAGAGCTGGGCAGAAAGGCAGTGAAGACAGAAGTTAGGAGGGAAAACAAGAGCATTCCTTCTTCATGCACTACTATTGCTAGTCAGGGAAAAAGGCCAGAAAGCAAACTACATGAACACCCTATGTGAAAGTATTTATGCCGTAAATAACCAGGGAGACATAAGGAAAGATATTTAATCATTCTAAGAACTGAAAAAAACTACTAAAATTAGAAAGGAATTTCTTTAAAAGTGAAAACAGAATGGCTGCTCTGCTTTCAAAATAAAAAGCAAGGATCCTAACAGCTAAGTTAATATCTTTAATGATAATATTGTCACTCATTAAGTACAAGTCAGAGGATAGTAGGTATGTTAAACAAAATATAAAACAACGCACTTCATATTTTGGAGATACTATACCATTGTAAGCACACCCAGGAGACCAATGGGAATTGGATCTTGTTTTATTCTCTCTGCAACCAGTTCTATTAAAAGCATCAACATGTTGTAGATCCCTTCATGAATTTCAGTACCCCACTTGTGAACAGCACTTGATGTTAGGAGCTACAAAAACATGAAGGACACTTTAGAGTCTAATTTGAAAAGGAAAAAAGTCAACAGTTTATTAGTTCAGTCTCAAATAATCAAGAGATTATTAGCATAATACTTTTTATGCAGGTGATTTGTTTTAAAAGACCCATAGCTGTACCACAGTTTTTTAATCCACTCATCTGCTGGGAAGGCAGGGGAGGTTGGGGGGAAGAGGGAGAGATCAACCAAAGGACTTGTACACATGCATATAAGCATAACCAATGAATACAGACATCAGGGGGGTGAGGGGATGGCTGGGGAGGGGATAGGGACACATATGTAATACCTCAACCAATAAAGAAAATTAAAAAATAATAATAAAATAAACATTTTAAAAAAGACCCATAGCTGTAGTCCATCTACTCATTCATGTATTTCAGTCAACACTGAGGTTTGTTTTTGAACTTTAATTCCCTTAATCAGCGGTTCTCAACCTGTGGGTCGCGACCCCTTTGGCGGTCGAACAACCCTTTCACAGGGGTCGCCTAAGACCATCCTGCGTATCAGATATTTACATTATGATTCATAACAGTAGCAACATTACACTTATGAAGTAGCAACGAAAATAATTTTATGGTTGGGTCACAACATGAGGAACTGTATTTAAAGGGCCAGAAGGTTGAGAACCACTGCCTTACATTAAAGAAGTTAGTTAAAGAAAGTTTAATTTGCTCCTGTACTTTTCAATATTACTAGAAAAGGTTAAGTGGTTTAGAGCAAATAGATCAACTCCTGATACTGTGTTTTCTAGCTGTGTGGCCTTGGACAAATGTACCAAAGTTTTCAAAGGCTCAGTTAGTTCTCTCATCTCTAAAGAGGAAAGTTCCTACCAACTTTACACAGATGCTATAATTATCAAAGGATGTAACTAATGTGAAAGTATTTTACAAATTGTGAGGTATTATTATTAATTTAGCTTGGAGATAACCATTAACCAATATTCCTGGAGTCTAAGAAGTGAATTTCATATTTCATGGATTCTAACGTACACATTCTTTTTATGATTGTTTATATCTCAGAAACATCTTCCCACCTGCTGACCAGATTACAACAGGATTCTGAATGTGAAAAAATATTTAGAAATACCTTACCAGTTTATTTTGCTTGCATTTCTCTTTTTGGTTTGTATAAAAGTAATATTCAACTTTAAAAAATGTTTAAGTAAATCAAAATAGCTCTAAGTGATAAGGCACTGCAATATTGTTTGTTTTGTAGCTCTTTTTCTTAAATATAAGCATAAAATATAAAACAATGGTGCATCTTATACCCAGCATCTTACATTTGTTAAAAAGAGGGAACAGGTACATAGATGAATCTAAAATCATCATTAATGAATTTCCCCAATCCTCAGTATTCTATTCCTTGAGGGAGTCTAATTCAGAAACAAAGGCTAGAAGAGGGAATGAGAACTCAAAGGATTTAGCTTATTAAAATAATGGTAAATTGATACAGTGATTTCATGTTTGCATAAGATTTCCCTTCAGAGAGAAAATACAGTGCAATAAAAATTTAATCGTGGCCACATTAAGAAGCTCTTAACAAGAGCAGCCTAAGAGAGCTCAAACTTCTTTAGCTGCAGAGGAAAACCTGAGTTCCAGATTTCTGATATTCCAATTAGTTGCACTATTTGCTCAAAGAGCAATAATCATAAGACCGATTTTTATATAAACCAAGGAGTGTTTTTTTGCTTGCCTATATAGTCTTCTTATATTTAAAAGTTAAAGCAGCAGAGATTAACATTTGAGAAGCTTCATGGTGACAATAACAAAAAAAGTAGGTGGATTAAGCACTATTCCCTCTGTTGCCATCTCATGTATTCAGTTTTTAATTGGAAAATGAAGTTCTGTCTTCCAGAAGAGATGGGGAGGGACAGGCAGCACCTGGTGGGGAAGATGCATACCTGTGCACTATGGCTACACCTACATTTTTCCCCATGCCTCAATATACTAGTAAAGAATCCAGGCTGGCCTGAAGGAGTAAGGTGAAGAAAGCAGAAATGACAACCAAGCTCCTTTTGTGCATCTTATTCATACAAGTGCTTATTAATTACTTATACCCTTCTAAAAATTTTGAGGCAGCTTATAAGAAAACCCTAGAGAAGCGGGTTAGAAGGAGAGTCATCATACCAGAAAACACAGCTAAGGAAACCAAGACCAATTATATAAAACACTCCGAGTTTTCCGGCAGCCAAGTCTAAAGAATTCTGTAGCTCTTCCGATTTAATAAAGGAAAGCATGCCTTAGTGATGGGAGGAGAATCTTTTTTAAAGTTCTAAACACTAAAGAAATTTAACAGGCATTTTTACATAAACAACCATGAACAATACAACGCAGGGTGCCCTTGTGCTCACAGTTTTACAGAGAAACCCCCCAAAAACCCCCTGATCATTTGTTATACTAGTACCAACAGCTGAGGGCATAATATAAAACAGTCCTCTGAAGCATCTCTGTATAGAATTAGAGTATTATATTCCAAAAATGCAACTTGCTAGGAATTGACAGGGCTCTCTGGATCTGGAGATCATCAACCTAAAGGTCCTTTCCTTATGCTAATAAATCCTTTCCATGACTGAAGAAACTTGCATTTTTCTCTCTCTGTAAATGTAGGCATGTATTATACTAGAAGCCTGATGCACAAAATTCGTACAAGGGGCTCAGCCCTCGCAGCTGAGGCAGCTTGCCTCTGTGGCTTGCCTCGGCCCTCACAGCCCTGGCTTCATCCAGAAGGACGTTGGGAGGGTCTTTTGGCTGTCTGGTTTAATTAGCATATTACACTTTTATTATTATAGATGTCTCACAGTTTGTTACATTACTACTCTGATTCTTACCAGAATTTTTAAAAACTTAAAATAATTTTAAACTATAAATTGGTCGATGAATTCATCCAAAATGAAGATAAATTCTCATTCCAAATAATCCCTAACCGAATGACAATTTTACTTATTTATTTTTTAAATATATTTTTATTGATTTCAGAGAGGAAGGGAGAGGTAGAGAGATAGAAACATCAATGATGAGAGAGAATAATTGATTGGCTGCCTCTTGCACACCCCCTACTGGGGATCAAGTTCACAACCCAGGCATGTGCCCTTAACCAGAATCAAACCTGGGACCCTTCAGTCCACAGGCTGATGCTCTATCCACTGAGCAAAACCAGCTAGGGCCGAATGACAATTTTAAAGATTTCTTCCCTTTTTCAAAGACGAAGCTATTTTTTGTTCCTATAATTAATTTTGTTATTTTTTAAGTCGTGAATCAAAGGAGATTCTATCTGTCAAGATGCAGATGAGAATAATAGTTTGCAAATGAACAGTTTATTTCACTGGGTTTAAACTTTACCCATCTGTAGTTGTAGTGATTTACTTGCATGAGACAAAAATGGTTGTCAAAACCCAGAAGTACAAGACAGCAGGAGACTCGTTTATTCTTTTTTAAAAAAATATATTTTTATTGATTTCAGAGAGGAAGGGAGAGGGAGATATAGAAACATGAATGATGAGAATCATGGATCGGCTGCCTCTTGCTCTTCCCCCCACCGGGGATCGAGCTCACAACCCAGGCATGTGCCCTTTAACAGAATCAAACCCAGGACCTTCAGTCCACAGGCCAACGCTCTATCCACTGAGCCAAACAGCTAGGGCTCATTTATTCTTTCAACAAAGATTTACTAAATCTTTTCTTTGAGCTCAGCACTGGCTACACGCTGGGGAAAACTACAGTGTCTATGACATTGCCCCGGTTCTTGTGGGAAATCAGGACTCATCCTGAAAAGGGAATCTTCCTTCCTTGAGTTAGAAAAACAAGTCCTGTGGTCTCCTATTATCACTCTACCCCACACAGATGCTGTCATCCGCATGTCATTCTGCCAGCAAGAATACTCAATTCAGTCAAACTTTCTGTAGTTTAAAACATCTGCTTCTACCTCAGTAAAATAAGTATAAAATGGCTTGTATTCTGATAAATATTATCTTCCTAAGTGCCACAACCCTTAGTTTAGTAAGATGTCTAATTTCCTAGTACAGTGGGGCCTTGACTTATGAGCGTCCCGACTAACGAGTTTTTTGAGATAACAGCTGTCTCTCAGCCGATTTTTTGCATTGAGTTGATAGAGTAATTTGAGTTAACGAGCTCCTTAAAGAGCTCGGTCTCGGAACGAATTAAACTCGTAAGTCAAGGCCCCACTGTATAAAATTTTAACCTTAACAATTAAATAGCAGAAGTGATAGTCAACCAAAGACATGTGCAAGCAATTAAATACAAAAGAAGCAAATCATTTATAAGCCCCAAATTTACAGCTACTTTTTTCATATTAGAGGATTCCTCAGTTGAACAAGATTCATAAACTGGTCTCACACATAAAAAACTAAAAAAAAAAGCCTGTTCACCTTCAACCCCAGCACAAAATAAATCAGCCGAGCACATATTTCTTACCTTTTTAAATGCTTCAGGCATACACCTATCCATAAATCTTTTACAATTCTCATCAGACTCGGAAAGACCTTAGTAAAATAAATGAAAAAATATGCCTTAGATTTTTAAGTAGTTTGTAGAGACCATATGTACCATTTCAAATTCATACATCTGGAACTATTTATGATAGAAACCTTGATTCTTAAGGGATTATTAAAAGCAGAATGTATACATTCTGATGAAGGAACAGGCTTAGAAACAATCACAGTATTAATTTATTTATTAGTACCACAATATATTTATTTTTACTTATTATTAATATACACTTGTTAAATAGTATAATAAATAAATATTAATTAGAACTGAAATGGTTGAACTTATGTTTCCATGTCAGAGTAACTTCAAATGACCTGATTAAATTGTAATATGTAAAAACCCAGGGTCCGTAAGCCCTACTGAAGACTCAACTGAACACTGGCAGTCAGTCCTGCAGTCAGTGCTGGGTTGCTGTGGTGACCCAGCACTGACTGCTGCGGGTGCGGGCGCAGCGACCCAGCACTGACTGCCGAGGGAGCTGTGGATCAGGCCCAGAGAGAGAGGCAGGGTCTGATCTGCAGCCTGCGTGGCAGCTGTTGATCAGCCCTTGCCTCTCTTTCTCTCCGGGCTTCGCCAGTAGCCGTGTCTCTCTTTTTCTCCGGGTCTCCACAGGGGCTACTGATCAGCCCCACCTTTCTGATCAGGCCCAGAGATAGGCCAGAGACACTGACTGGCATAGAAACAGACCAATCAGAACCAAATCTGGGTGAACTGTGAGGAGCCAATGGCTGCCTAGGAGGCAGAGCTTTTGACTGGCATAGAAACCGACCAATCAGAACCAAGTTGGCCGGCAGGGGAGGGCCATTGGGGGCTAGATCAGGCTGGCAGGGGAGGGTAGTTGGGGGCAATATCAGGCTGGCAAAGGAGGGCAGTTGGGGGTGAGATCAGGCTGGCAAAGGAGGGCAGTTGGGAGTGAGATCAGACTGGCAGGGGAGGGCAGTTAGGGGTAATCAGGCAATCAGAGGCAGTTGGGGGCGAGATCAGGCAGGGAGGCAGGCAGGCAGAGGCAGTTAGGGACGTGCACTGGGCCACTTGTAACTAATAAAACCAAACACTAACTACTTACCATTACTTTCCTAAACAGCTCTATAAAATATAAATATTCTCAATAAATGCCAAAAATCACTCTTCTTCCTTACCACAAACTGATGAACTCTGTGTAACAAAATGCACAGAATGGTGCTGGCACACAGTAAGTGATAACTTGCTAAGTGAATGCATGCTCAACACATTTTCTTTGTTCGGAACCACTGCCTAGCACAGTATCTACATCCTAATAGGCACTTAATAAATGTTGCTGCTGAAAAGCCAGTAATAAACGTACCAGAAAATTGCCCATTAGGATTAAATCTAATCCTGTGAAAACATTTCCTACCTACTAATGTGCCTCATATTTAATCATGGTGGTAAACTATGCACACTTTTAATAAGGAGGAAAAAAAACACATAACAGTGGCCCAATTCTTACTTTACAATTGAATTCAATATGAAAAAGAAATTATTTTCTCTTTAAAACATACTATAGAAGCTTCCTTATATTGACACCCATTCTTCCAACTTAGTGTTATTTTATTACTCTATTAGTTTAATATTTGTAAAGCACTTAAGACAGTGCCAAACACATAAGTACAAAATGTCTGTTAAATAAATATTACCTTCTCTTAAAAAAATAAAAAGCCAATGAATTGGGACTTTTAAAGTGCTCCAAGCTTCTGTGGAAAAGTTAATTTCAATTTATAAGTTTTTTCAATTATATTTTAAAGAATCTTACACTCTATTGGAGCTGGATGAAAACAGCTGATTTAATTCAAAGCTTTAAATATTCCACAGGGGATAAGCAAAGAATAGAGTAAATGTTCTAAGATTATAAAGTCAGGTCTCTTATTAAAAAACAAAAAAATCTGCTCATGAGTTCTGAAGTCTGAAAACTTACCAAGTCTTGCAAGGTAGGTAGACGCCAACAAGCATTTGCCTAGTGATTCTTCTCTCTTGTAAGGGATGGACCAATGATCAGTCAAAACACGGCTTTCCAGTTCATATAAGTTTGTTGTAGGGAATTCAATTCCTTCCCCTGAGCAGTTTCCATTTTCATCATTCTTCTGACAAATAGGGATTATGGTAAAAAACAAACAACAGTGACTACTTTAAATTTTTTTTATTTAACACTGAGCAGATGCTTAATCAATAGAAGCTAATAAATAATACCAATCGTGTAGATTCCAAATTTCTTTCTCATAATTTGAATTTAATGATAGAGTTCAGTGGTGACAGTAACAGCTATCGTGGGAGAGTATGGAAACCCTACTGGTGTAGTGTCAGGAGTGAGTCAGTGGTGAGGAATGGAGGCAGCAGGTATCTCTTTGGAGAAATTTATCAAAATTGACCAAGACTATGTAAAGTAGTCTCAAACTTTATTAGAGTGGCCTTCCTACTCCCTCAGAAGGCAAGCTCATCTCATTCTTCAAAGATGAACCTTCTCATTATAAAATAGCAAACCTACCTTCACCTGCAGCCATCCTATTCTCCCCATTTTTGTTGTTTTGTTTTGTTTTTCTTCACTGAAAGGATAAATTTCTTCTGCCTGCTCCCTCTTCTTGATATGCTAGATCCTTTCCCCTCACCTCCCAGGACAGCACACTCCCCTGTTCTCCTTTGGTGGATCTGGCTGGTTCCATTCTATCTCCCCTTCTGGTACAACTTCCCCTTCCTGGCCATCAAGTATTGGAGTTTCTCAAACCTCAACGCTATTTCTCAAACCTCTGGCTCTTCTCATTATACTCCAGAGAATGGCACATCTGTTTAGCAGCACAGCCAGAAATCAGGACTCATCCTCTTTTTTTGTTGATAATTTCAAGATTTTTTAAATTGAATTTATTGGGGTGCCATTGGTTAATAAGACTATGTTTCGGGTGTACAATTCTATAATACATCATCTGTATATTATATTGTGTGTTCACCACCCCAAGTCAAGTCTCCTATCACTATTTATCCCCCCTTTTCTCTCTCCTACCTCCCCTCAATTCCCCTTTCCCTCTGATGATCACCATAGTAGGTCTGTGCCTATAAGTTGTCTTTTTCTTTGCCTAATCCCTTCATCTTTTCCACCAAGTACCCTAATCCCACTCCCATCTGACAGCTGTCAGTCTGTTCTCTGTATTTATGAGTCTGTTTCTATTTTGTTTGTTAAGTTTATTTTGTTCATTAGATTCCACATACAAGTAGAATGATACGGTATTTGTCTTTCTCTGACTGGCTTATTTCAATTAGCATAATACTCCCCAGGTCCATCCATGCTGTCGCAATAGGTAAGATTTCCTCTTTCATAGCTGAGAACCAGGACTCATTCTTAAAACCCGTGCTCCCATCTTCACCCCCAAAGACCAGGATTAGACCTAAACTTCTCTCAAATCTATCTACTTCTGTACAGCTCCGCAGAGATGCCACCATTCCACCAATACTCTTTCAGAGAAGCCTTTCCAGAATTTCCAAACTATGTCAAACTCCTTTAATTCCTTTAAACCAGTGAGTTTCAACCTTTTTCATCTCATGGCACACACAAACTAATTACTACAATTCTGCAGCACACCAAAAAATACATTATATATTTTGCCAATCTGACTTAAAAAAACCAAAGGTATAATTTTCATTCATTCACACAGGCGGCTATTGTTGTGTTGGTTATTGTTATTTTTAAATTTGACAGTCTACAGGAAAAGAGGTCAGTGCCTCTGACTACATACTCAAGGTATCGCACGCTTTAAAATTCTGGCGGCATATGCTGTGGCACACCGGTTGAAATTGCTGCTTTCAACTCTTATTAGAGAGTTAGGGACTCACCTACAGTGGTGTAGACCTGAAAGGGGTTCTAAGGGAAGTAATCTCACAGGGTGATCTATATACAGTAGGTACTCGGGTTACGTCGGAGATCTGTTCCTACAATGCGACATAATGCGATTTTCGCCATAAGTTGGAACCCACCTACATAAGCACCTATGTCACTCACATGGAGCACGTACACAGCAGCAATGAAGTGAAACAGTAAAAAAATTTCAAAGATAACAAATCCTGACCTTTACTTGTGGTAAATAAATAAAACATAAAGGACATATGTACATACGTCGAAATGACAAAGCTTTTTTTTTTTTTTTACAAATACTGTAAATGGGAGATGGCAATGTAACTCAACGTACGTCGAGTCGGACGTAACTCAAGGACTGCCTGTATATAAAACCCTAATATACAAATAGACTGAACAGCGGAACAACCGAACCAGTCACTATGTGCGCTGACCACCAGGAGGCGCATGCGGAACATGGAGGCATTGTCAGCCGTGGCGGGACGGTGGAGCAGGTGAGCAGGGGCACCGGTTGCTGAGCCTCTGGTGGTTACTGAAAATTCTTTACTCCCACACGCCACGGTCCCTCCCAGCGCTCACACCTGATGCTGGTGCTGGCCCCACTCACACCCACTGCTGGTGCTGAAGCTGCCACTTGCACCCGCTGCCAGCACCCGGCCCCAATTGCTCGACGCCATCAGCAAGTGCAAGCAGCAGCTGCTGGCCCCGACTGCCCCTCAGGGCTTCTCTACCTCACCCTGCTCCTGAGGAGCAATTGGGGCCAGCAGCCGCCTCTTGCACCCACTGCCAGTGCCAGCCCGCTCACACTCACTGACGGCACTGGCTCCGCTCGCACCCATTGCTGGCACTGGCCCCAATCGTTCTGCGCCATCAGCAGGTACGAGCGGGGCTGACGCTGTCAGTGTGTGGGAGCGGTGGTGGCAGGAGCAGGGCAGCCGGCAGACATGGGACCGGGAGCTGCTGCAGGAAGAGCCAGGCGGGGGCACAGAGGATAGGACAAGACCCGCCTCTGTGCCCACCACAGTTTTGTGGCCGACAGTTCCTTTCAAGGTGCATGAATTCGTGCACTGAGCCCCTAGTCCAGTGATGGCAAACCTTTTGAGCTTGGCATGTCAGCATTTTGAAAAACCCTAACTTAACTCTGGTGCCGTGTCACATATAGAAATTTTTTGATATTTGCAACCATAGTAAAACAAAGACTTATATTTTTGATATTTATTTTATATATTTAAATGCCATTTAACAAAGAAAAATCAACCAAAAAAATGAGTTCATAGGTTCGCCATTACTGCCCTAGTCTGACCATAAATTCCTAACCAGATAATTCACGGTGGGTGGTCAAATAACTTTTTTTTTCCTTTATTGATTAAGGTATTACATATGTGTCCTTATCCTCCCATTGCCCTCCCCCCATTCCCCACTCATGCCCTCACCCCCCTGTTGTCTGTGTCCATTGGTTAGGCTTACATGCATGCATACAAGTCCTTTGGTTGATCTCTTCCCCTTACCCCCACCCTCCCCATCTTCCCTCTGAGGTTTGACGGTCTGATCGATGCTTCTCTGTCTCTGGATCTGTTTTGTTCATCAGTTTATGTTGTTCATTATTTTCCGCAAATAAGTGACATCATGTGATATTTATCTTTCTCTGACTGGCTTATTTCACTTAGCATAATGCTCTCCAGTTCCATCCATGCTGTTACAAATAGTAAGAAGTCCTTTTTTTACCACAGCGTAGTATTCCATTGTGTATATATACCAGTTTTTCAATCCATTCATCTGCTGATGGGCACTTTGGCTGTTTCCAAATCTTAGCTATGGTAAATTGTGCTGCTATGAACATAGGGGTGCATATATCCTTTCTGATTGGTGTTTCTAATTTCTTGGGATATATTCCTAGAAGTGGGATCACTGAGTGGCATATACTAGGTGTACTGGTTAATAATGCAGATTTTTTTCAATAGATGGAGTTACACATATTTGATATATATGCGATTTGATATGTATGCTATTTTGTTGTATTGACAGCAAGCTTCAAAACTTCATATGTCAAATTTGCTGAAGGTGTTAACATCATAGATATTTTTACGCTTAAAAATGTCGAATTTCATGCCAAAAAAAGAGCATTTACAGGAAGTTTTAATTCATTAATTTATTTTGAAGAAAAAGTTATTGTATACTTCGGGAAGTATATGGTGAACATGCTCCATCTCAAGATACTTGTGAACGCTGGTTTAAACACTTTAAAAGTGATGATTTTCATGTGAAAGACAAAGAACATCCAGGTCAACTGAAAAAGTTGAAGATCAACAATTACAAGCATTATTGGATGAATATGCATGTCAAACTCAAAAACAACTTGCAGAAAGACTAAATGTTGCTCCGCAAACAATTTCCGATCATTTACAAGCAATGGGAAAGATTTTAAAGGAAGGAAAATGGGTGCCACATCAACTGAATGAAAGACAAATGAAAAACCGAAAAGTCATCAGTAAAATGTTGCTTCAACGGCACGAAAATCCTTTTGGCATCGAATTGTGACTGGCGATGAAAAGTGGATTTATTCTGAGAATCCCAAATGCACAAACTCATGGGTTGATCCAGGTCAACCATCAACATCGACTGCAAGGCCAAATCGCTTCGGAAAGTAGACAATGCTCTGCATTTGGTGGGATCAGGAAGGTATGGCGTATTATGAGCTTCTAAAACCAGGTGAAACCATTAATACTGATCACTACCGACAACAAATAATCAATTTGAACCACACTTGGATTGTGAAACGACCAGAATGTTCCAGAAGACACAGCAAAGTAATTTTGCTTCATGATGCACCATCACACACTTCAAAACCAGTTAAAGACACATTAAAAGATCTTGCCTGGGAAGTATTAACCCACCCAGACCTTGCTCCTTCAGATTACCACTTGTTCCAATCGATGGCACGTGTACTTTCTGAGCAGCACTTCAAACGTACGAAGAAGTGGAAAATGGGGGTCTCTGAATGGTTTGCCTCAAAACAAGAAAAGTTCTCTTGGGACAATATCCACATATTACTTGAAAGATGGGGAAATGTGTAGCTAGCGATGGACATTACTTTGAATAAAGCACTTCTGATGTTTCTCTTGAAATTATCGTGTTTTCCTTGGTTTCAAAATCCGCCATTATTAACCGGTACACCTAGTATATCCACTGATACAGGAAGTAGACTAGTGGTTGCCAGAGGATGGGAAAAGGGAGAAAAGGAGA